ACATAAGACAGCATATCACTGACTCTAAGCATTGTGAATCACAATATGTGATGTGTATATCTCTAAGCACAGACATTACTGGGAAACCTTTCCAAAGAGTGTATTTAAATCAGAGATTAATCTGATCACTTTATAAAAAAGGTACACACCTCAACCCCAGCTGCTGCTAACAGCCATCGGATTGACTCCATCCTCCCCCTTGCATTGGAATAGTGCAGTTTGGGCTTCCCTGCCATGATATCAGACTTCTTTTTTCCTGGCAAATTCAAGATTAAGATCTTATACAGAAAGAATTAATTTTTAATAATAGCATTTTAAATGTTCCACTCCAAACTACTCAATACAGTTGGATGAAAGTGAAGGTAAAAGGGCAATCATGGCCTATATACTTGATGCAACCAACTTTCCTGTGGGTTAGTGGAAAAAAATGACAAAGTACACATACCAGAACATGCAACAATTCAAAACAGAATGAGAGAATGTAATAAGCACCTCAATTCGTACATACATGTTTAAATCGTATACATATCTTTAAAAATACCAATATAGCTGCAAGAGCTCTACAGCCAAAGCAGAACTGCAAAGTAATCCTGAATAAACACATTTTTGCCTTGTAGTATACAGTCTCTTCAGTAGGTGTTTGGTTTTGTGGCAGCACTCACATCATAAAGGTCTTGAAAATGTGCTGTGTCACGTGAATTGCTTCACCAGAACACCAACCCAGAGGCAACAGCGTTACTTTACCCTTTCTCATGATGACAGTTCAGAGTTCTGTGCTCCTGTGCCTGTACAAATATGACTTATAACAGCAATATATATTCCGGAATATATTTCACCAGGCCTACTGACTTCCATACGTAGCTAATTCTGTTTTGACCACTAGCCAAATCACAATATATGCATTACAGATAATGTGCACTGACTTAAGACCCGTTCCAATTTTATGAACAACAGTTAAACTGTCACACGGATTTATATCCTATTTCACTAAAAATGTAACTTTCAAATCAAACCCAAACAAACTGGTCAATGCCCCCAGCAGCAGAGAACTAAAGTCAGCACACCAGATCATGGCACTGGGATGAAACACTTTGCTCTTTCAAATTTCACATCCATAGCATGATCTCAGCAGCTGATGCGAGCTTGTCTGGTGCTGGAAACAAAGCTAGCACTGTACTCTTATCACTACTGGGTCCCAGGAGAATGAAGCAGGTTTAGTAGAAGTCAGTGTGACAAAGTAATTCATCACTAAGAAAAGGTTTCATCTGTGTACAGGCAGGCTTATTTATTCTTGGATAGACTTCACAGTTCGTAATTTAGCCACAGAGTGGAAACTTTGGCCATGATTCCAATCAATGAAGAGGACCAAACAGGACAACGGTGAAAGGGGAGACCGCATCCAGGCCTTCTCCACTTCAGTCATTTGTGTAGGCTGTTCAATAGGCCCTATTGCAAACAGCCATTGTTCTACTCAGGGCTGGACTCACAGAAGAAACCTGGTGTCCCCATCCAAAAAAATGGGTCTGGAAAACCACTGTCCCGCTTCCACCTGGCCCTGGCAATGCCTGTATCCCAGACACCTCAGTCGCTTGCAACAAAGCTCCCCTGACACATAAATACGTGCTCAATAATATTCAATAATGTCTTGATGGTTTTGACTTGGCATCTAGCCTAGAGCTCTGAGTTCCTATGCAGATTCCTGTATGCCTGCAGAGCAACAGGGTGCATGAATAAGGCATTTAGAGAACTGCCTCATCACAACTACCTTTGCCAAGGCCCCACATACAGAACACCATGACTTACACTTCTAGTTCCCGTGTGTGGGAGTTACATTATACCGAGTGAAAGAGCTCTCAATCTTCCACACTTCAAGAAAACCTTCATTCCCTGGTGCTCAGGAGGCAGGTGACAGCCTCAACTCCGCTCCACCTGAGAGAATGGCACCGGGGCACTCACAGACTGGACAAGCACTCTAACCTTCAGTTCATGGGATCAAGGCTGGGAAACAACGTGCGGTTACAGACTAGAGTAAGCAGAAAGAGCAAACTTTCCTGGCCTCTCCCCAAAGCAGAGGCAGAGCTGATAAAAGTCAGCCCAGCCAGAGCCCTGCTGGCCCATGTCACCTCAGTGCTCCACTGCAATCACCTGTGGAAGCCGAAGAGCAGAGCAAGGGTCAGTGGGAAAAAGTCCAGGTATCGACATAATCTGCACTTGTTCATCACAGTTCCTTGGGGGGACTGGCCAAGGACTGAGGCTTTTTGTGCTGGTTAAGGAAAAGTTTACACTTTTCTGGAACTGCACTGCTTCAGGACTGACCTGGGGGCTTAGGTGAATTGAACACACCGTTGCAAAGTACTTTGGCCACTCTGTTCCTGCTCAGCAACAACTATCTCTTTGTAAAGCAGTGAGTCATGAAAGAGTGGTAAAGTTGGTAAACTGCCTTTCTTGAATAGCAGTAATTGACCTGAAAACAAATCACAATCTTTCTCTGTGCACCAGTGCATCAGATCTTCCTTGGACCTCCACCAGGCAGATGCCAGTGACAGCTACGGCTGCAATCTCAGTTTTTTAAAAAATCACCCTGTGCTGTCCAAAACAATTCAGGCAGCAGCCCTCCAGCAAGAGACAAGTGAATCTAACAGCAATCCCGTAATCTGCTGCAAGATCTTAAACTTGCTTCCTAATTGGATGTGGACCCCAAAGTGGTTCTCTGCTTTGCTCCTCACACACTGCTCACACAGGGCTGCTCAAGCACAAGCACCTCACAGCACAGGCCCCATGCTGCATCGGGCCCAGCTCAGTCTCCAGACCCTCCTAAGACCAACTTCTCACCAGCATGTGGTTTCTACTGAGCCTCTGGCCAAGTCCCGATTCAGGAAGCGTTCCTTGCTTCACCAGAGCTAGGACGAGTGTTTGAACGAGGGAAAGGCAAATTACCTCGAGATTTTAAAACTTCCAACTCCAAAGGCAATTCCTCCACAAGTTTCCTGCTGCGCCTACCCACAGCGCGCCCCCATGCACACGCTCCCTGCCCGGCCCGGGTCCCTGCAGCAGCTCACCCAGGCACGGTCTGAACTACAAACCGCTCTGACACACGCCTTGCCTTTCGCCCTCCCGGCAAAGGGCACCGGCTGGCCGCCTGGTGGCCTGGAGACAGCTGGCAGCCAAGCCCAGTGCAGCCCAGCTCAGCCCGACCCTCCGTACCCAGCCGTCCAAGCACCGCGCAACCCGCCGGTGCCCCGTCCTGCTGCCGGCGGGCCGTCATTCCACCCGGGAACCCGCCGCCACAAGCCGCGCAGCACAGCTCGCACCCTCTCCCGAGCAGGGACCGGCCCCATACACCCCCTCACCACGGCGGAGCTGGCAAGCCCCCCAACTTCCCCCAAGGCCGCCACCGCCACCAGTACCAGTACCCTGCGCACGGACCGCACCGCCGACAGAGCGCGCTGCCCAGACAGATCCGCAGGCACCGCCCTCACCGCTCCTCCCCTCCGCGGCCGCACTTTCCGCCCCGCCTCCTGCCCGACCTCGCTCTCGCCGGTGGCCCGTGAGCCGGACGGGGGTAGTGGGGTCTGGCTTTCCGCCGGCAAACCGCGTTCCTGAGCTGTGCGAGCGTGGCTGGGGAAAGAAGAGTTACCGCGGCCTTGTCCTGAGGTCTTGCGAAGCCACTCTTCGCAGAGGGCCGGGTTCGAGGTCGGCGGCATGCACCGGCTGCGCCCCAGAGGGACACGGCCGCCAGGGCACAAGAAAGGCTCCGAGGCGGCAGTGGGGTTCCCAGCGGTGGCGGGGCCGGGGAAGAGGCCTAGCCTGCAGTCCCTGCGTGAGGACACGCCACTGTCCGTGTGCTAGGGGCTCCGGCTCCGCGAGGCCGAAGCCTGGGGCTGTACGCAGGCTCCCAAACGCTTGCCTGTGCAGGGGAGCGTGCACAGCAGAGGGCCGGCAGCCACGGCCGAGCTCCCCAGCTCGAGTTTCTGACCGCGCTCGGCAGCTGGGGGCCGTGCGTGAAGTGGGAGGGAAAGGGCTCCTGCAACAACTCCTTTCCTGATGGTAAAAACTGGCTCCAGACAGTGCATTTCTTACAAAGGAACTGCCTGGGTTGGCAAGTGTTCTAATGTCCCGAGTTTGCCCAGCATAAAACTGCCAGTATCAGAGTGCTGGTTGGGTTTAGGGCACTGGCTGTTGCATTTACAAACTTGGGTTTATTTGGTGTTTAAATAATGTGCATATTTATGTATATTATTATTTGTAATATTATCAACAATAATATGCATATTTATGTATATTATTATTTGTAATATTATCAACAATAATATGCATATTTATGTATATTATTATTTGTAATATTATCAACTGTTCTCTCAGTAGCGGAGCTTGATTTAAGTGATTATAATGTGCAGCTTACATTTAACTGAGTTGAATATAGTTACATAAGTGAACATGAAGGCCTGTGTTTCAAGGTCTTACTAGCCTCTGACACCGCTTGACCCTTCCTTCCTGAAATGCTAGATTTTACAGTTGACAATTAGTGACAAGTATTCATTCCGCAGTCAAGTGAAGTGCTTTTAGCTGCTACAGTAGACCTTTCGTTAAAGGAAATGTTGGTGAACCTACAGCACATGAGTTTAAATGTCCACTGACAGAACAGACATGCAATATGATCTCTGGTCCCAACATGCTCCGAGTTAAGTTCACAGGAAAGCTGAATCCAAACATGTCATCCACATCAAACCAGAACCTGCAGATCTCTCCCGTCATTTCTCAGAACAAATGTATCAGCCACTGTTAGGGCTAAGCTGTTTTCGTTTTCCAGCAGCTCTTGGGAATGTCAGAAAGACAAAACCAGAGAGCTCTTAGGCATGTAAGTAGCAGCAAGAAATCTTTGAACAAACTGGTTTTGTCTATCAATTGTAAGACTTTATTTCAGTATTTTCTTAAGTAATTTAAGACATCCTGTGTTGTCCAGTGTACCCCCCAATGCAGTGAGCTATTTCATTTGCTAGTATGCTTGTGTAGATTTAATTTGGAAGTATTTTCAGAGGTCTAAAAACAGTCCTGTAGTTAAGAAAAGAAAGATCAAAACCCAGTTCACCTTTTTCATTATTTTCACCATTAATTCCATCAGCAAACACAAAGACTATGAAATAAGAGTTTCTGTGGGCTAAGGTTGCCACTCAGTAGAAAATTTTCATCACTCTTGGTAAATCTTTCTCTTGTAGTGGTGGTTTCCTCTGGCTGCCAGGCTGCAGGAATTTCTGTATTGTGGGGATATTGCTTATTCTTGCTTTAAAACTCTACAAAATGAAGAAAAATGAGGACTATGCTTAAGAACAATGGTATCTGTCAGATACTAAGATGTTATCGTTGCCATAAAAGTATCATTATGGGTTCATCATGCAGAAGAATCTGTATACTTCGTCCTATTATTCATTTGTGGCTACAGTGACAGAAGGCAGCAATAACCACCAGTATTTGAGGCCAGGTAAAAGTAGTTAGAATACTTGATTTTTTTCTGTCACTTCTCTATTCATCCACCCACTCTCCCATATTTCTCAGCCAGTTTAAATCAGTGGTGCTCCCTTGATTCATTGTCTGTTAAAACTGTTGATTCAGTTACCTGCAAGAGAGGGAACTTGGCAAGGATATCAGGCTTGCACTCTTCTGCCATTAAAAGGCTTTCAAGTAACTGCACATCTGCCTTGCTAAGCTGATTGCCCACAAGAAAGTCCTGTCCATGGTCTTTCAAAACCTAAAACCAGAGAACCAGAAGTGATTATTTTTTCCCTTTCTGTGACTTACTGTATCTTCAGAGCAAGGTCATACACTGCATGGAGTTATCCTTGAAAGAAGGAAATTATGTAGAAAAAGAAGGAAGTGTTAATTTGAATCTGTAGTTCAAATGAACAACTTGACCACGCTGTCATCGTAGGCATAATTTCTCAGCCCTTGCTCTTCTGCATTTCTTTCTGCCAGGTCAGTTGTACCCCTCTTGCCTTCACTTCTGCAGCTCCTGTAGTTAGCACTGCTGTGTTGAAGGCTTTATGGGATATAACCATGTGAATGCCTGTACACGATTTACAAGACGCTTAAGTTCAGCCCAGGGCATAGAGTATCATGGACTCTTTCAAATTATGGGCAGATGCCTTCTCACCTGTTTCCTCTTTAATTTGAGGAATTTGGGAGGTCTGTCTCTGTAACCTGTGCCTCTGGGTCTTGACACCCAGCTAATCAATCCTCCCTTTTGTTACAGAAGGAGTTGTAAACGCTTTTACACAGCATGAATGGTACAGGGGATTCTGCATTTCAGGAGGAAACTTTATGTAAAAGCTGATGCTATGGTGTCTTTTGTCTAAAACAACACAGACTGCAACATGGACATCTGGGGAGCTCAGTGTGTCCTGGGTTTTTGCAGCTTTGCATCTCCTAGATTTCTAGTGCCTGCTGTCCCCTGTGTAGCATCCTATCTCCATCCTCATCCCAGTCCCACCAAAACCAATATAAATTAGCATTTAGATGTTAATGGTAATTTTTCTCCTCTCTTTTCCTCATTAAAAATTGTTTGTGTAGTTCCAGGATAGAGCTTCAGGAAATCAATTAAGCTACTACATCTCTGCCACATACCTTCTCGAAGACTGGGAAGTATCTGTTTGAGGCCTTGTCCACAAGATTAGCAAGATGTTGTTGCTTTTTATCCTCTGGTTGTAAAGTATGTGTCATCAGTAACTCATTCAAATCTATTATTGCTTCCACGTACATATCAATTCTGAAAAGAATAGATCCATTTGGTCAAGTCAAAGACAGTAGGTTGAAATAGCACAATAGCTACTGCCATAACCCAACTGAGATGTTGGGAACTCTTTGCCTCTTCTATCCAGTATGCCTAGCTTGGAGCAGTTCTGCCTGAGGTGCAGTAGCTTCTGGAAAGGAGAGCATGGGTGAAAGAAAAGTGCAAAGTGCCTACAAAAAAACTAGAAGACTGTGCCTCTTCAATTTTTGACTAGGAATGATACTTCTCTGTATTGAGCTTGCATTAAGGATGGTGTCATCCAAATGTGTTAAAATCCAGTCAGACATGGTGGCAAGTTAAACAATGGGTCCGTACAAATCCTAACAAATACCTTAACGTGTTTACCAATGCTAATTAACTTGAAGCATTTAAAAATAATTCAGGTCAAACCATGTGGCCTATAAGCCCTGTCATTTACTAATTGATTAGTAATTCTAACTCTAATTCCTGGTTATTAGACAAGGGGTTTGTTTCCTTTGAAGACATTTCCCTGGATTTGATGTGATGAAAATACCTGCTGCTGCCAACCGTGGGAGAAAATGAAAAGCTGCCTTATAAGACAGTCCGCTCCTGACTGCATTCTTCTGTTAGCTCTGTTGACCTTTGCTCTTCATGAACTCCCTTGCACTGTGTTGCCTAGCTAATCTAGCTGGTTATTACTGTTGTAATACAACTGCACCTGCAGTCACAGTTAAAACATGCTACATGAGAAGCTGCTGTATCACCCTGAATCTGACTATGAGCTGGGATACCTTGTGTTAACACAAGAGCAGTAGTATGAACTGTAGCCTAACAGGAAAATATGGTACTGTTACTGTACAGGGCTCTCTCCTTCAGGTCCTTCCCATAGAGGTTGTACTTTGCTGCTATGTAGTTGCCAATGGCTCTTGACTGCACCATCTTCATTCCATCAATCTCCACCATTGGCACTTGCTGAAACAGCAGGGATCCATCTAGTGAAAAGGGGACAAGACAAGGAGACATTCAGTATTTGAATGAAAACCATTAGTGTGTGTTTGGCAAAGGAATCACACGTATAATTTTTTTATTTAGAATCATAGAATCATTTAGGTTGGAAAAGACCCTTAAGATCATCAAGTCCAACTGTTAACTCAGTACTGTCAAGTCACCACTTAAACTCATGAGAGATCAAAAACCTGTTCACCATTTTCACCATTAATTTCATCAGCAAACACAAAAAAAATAAGAGTTTCTGTGGGTTAAGGTTGCTCTCGGACATAAGACTTCTTAGGTGTTCTATTACCTGTATATAGTATTACCTAATTATTAAAAAAACAAGGAAACTTACCCTTCTGTAACTTTGTCAGATCATCCTTTGTTTCCAGAAAACATTCTTCAAACTGCAGGAAATAAAAAATGTTGTGTTATCACTGCATATCTTAGCTTCTGCTTTGCATGAGACAAAAAGCTGTGTTTTGGAGAATTTTATTTTTTAAAAAATAAATCAGATTTGGAACTGATACCTTTAAAAATTTGTTTTGTTGTTGTCACATCCTCTCCTCTTCCCTCTCAGATGTGATTCATATTTCTGTGCAGGTAAGATTTGGCTAAAGCTGAGGTGACTGAAAGGCACAAAACCCTGTCTACTGAGCAAACAGTGACTGTTCCACTTCTGATGTCAGTGCTGGGAGAAAGGAGGGTAGGTAAATTCACATTGAAGCAGCACAACCGTGGTTCCTTTGCCACAAGCTGGCAAAAGGGGAGGCAAAGAGAAGAGATTGAGTGTCCTGTAGCATATTGCCCATTACTGTGACAAAAACTCACAGCTCTTAAAACACACAGATCCCCCACATTACCACAGTTATTACATCGGATTTTTTTTTTTTTTTTCTATTTTGGACATTGGGATTTAACTGAAGGTCTTCAGAATGGAAAGTGCTCAACCCCTGTGATCAAAAGATAAGAGACCAGGTTCTGCTGCTGTCGTTTTGGGTTTTTGCTTTCACTAGCTATTGGGGAGAGGCATTTATGGTGCTACCAGTGTGCCTGGCACATGGTGCTTGGAACTTGCAAGCTTGGTGCTTGGAACTTGAAACAGGAACTTGCCCGCCTGTTTAGGCTAAGCTAGTCATTGTTGGCTTGGTCAGCAAAACACTAAATGCAGAGCTTGAAAGTGCTGGTCAGTCACATTTCTTATAAGGAACAGTGAAAATACGTGTCTGTTAGATGCTCTTATTATAAAAAACAGGACAAACCTCAACCCCAGCTGCTGCTAGTAGCCACCGTATTGATTCCATTCGGCCCCGTCCATTGAAGTAGTGCAGCTTGGGCTTCCCAGACATGCTTCCACTGGTTTCCTACTGTCTGGAATAAAGTAAGCTTTGCAAAACAAAGATTTAGAATGCGGGTTTTGAGTCTCTAACAAGTTCTCAAGCACTGTTCAAAGTTATCTTCTTTGAAACAAATGATTCATCGTCCAAGACTCTCACCCCATTAGTAGAGGAGGTTAAAGACTATATTGAGGGACTGCATTGTATCATTTAGCCTTAGAATATCTTTTATATGTGTAGGTTAGTTAAGCAAAACTGTACTGGGAGCAATTGGCCCATGTCAGAGAACAAGCAAATCAAAATCCATTTGCATCCCAAACTGTTTTGCTCTGACCAAAAACAACAGGGCATGTGAGATACACTGCTCTCTTTATTTTGGCATTATCTCTGGATAGATTACTGTTTAATCAGATACCCAACATAAACTCACCTATTGCTGTGCTTTCTTCAGCAGCCATTATGCTCTATTGTAAGGTAACAGGCCTTCCTGTTACCCCCACTGTAAGCATTCAGTTTCATTTACAACATTCCCCACTAATCCCATTTCTTCAGGCAAGCATCTGAAGACATAGAATTTAATTTCATCTAAGGTAATATTAGATTTCCCTTTACCACAGGTAGAACCAACATGCAATACCTGCTTGGACAGTTCCAAATCTGCTGGAATTTAAAGCAACAACAGTTTGTAGACAGGCTCTCATGCCCCCAGTCAGAATCAGTGTGTGCATATCCGCAGCATACATGTAGACAGTGCCTAGTTTGTACTAGCTTCACAGTTATTATCATCGTGTCAACAATAAAACTGAAGCATTAACAGCAGTAAAAAGGAAACAACTAAAAAACCACCATCTTCCCCTTGTAAAAAACATATTTTCTCTGAAACAGGAAGAAGGTGAGAGGAAACACTCCACACTTGAGATCTACATTTCTTTATCTTAAATCTGTACGCCTAGAAAGCAATTGATCAATAATTTAACATAACCACGCACATAACTGCGTTAGTAAAGTACAGACAAGTAATAAAACCCATTCACTGACTTAGTCTCAATTACACTAATTGCTTACACCTGTGCAAAAAAAGCTTACCTTGTACACAGTATAACTCGCTCTAAGCTCTCAGCAGCTGTCTTGAGATTATATAGTTCTGTAGCCCCTCCTACAAAGGGAATTGCAGACAGTCCTCTTCGAGAGACTCCTATTTCTTAAACAAATAAAAACAATTATGTCTGTTTAGTCGCTTCTCACCTATAGAAAATAAATTCCTGACTCATGCTGACAATGTACAAATGTGAAATTCATGAGAGTCATGGTTATTTGGAACTTCTGTGCCAGCAAAAAACTGTTGCTTCCTATTTTCATTGTTTGGCAACCTGCTACTTAAAATAACCAGAACAGCTGAAAAGCTCCCATGATTAAAAAAATACTGTGATAGCAATAAACATTTTAATATTTTATGGTTTGGGTTTTTTTTTTACTTATAATAGATTGCCATTTTACATAAATCACATCAACTAATTCAGCTTGAATCCTACATAAGGTTCCTCCCTTAGTGAAGCGGGATATTCCTTCGGGATATTTTCCTTCTGTATTTCATTCGTGGACCCAGAAGTGTTTTTTCCTGTTCTTCCCAAAAATGTTTCCATGGATCTGACTAGGTGAAAATGCACACCAGAGACAACTGTAGGAGACAGTGAATGAAAAGCAGTGTCAGAAGACAAACTGCCCTATGCACTTCTGACTGATTTCTTCAGATAACTGTATCAACCTTTGATCTTCATGAACTCGCTTGCACCATGCTGTTTATCTAATCGGGCTTGTCAATACTGTTGTAGGCATCACTTGCAGGCAAGGTCAACATGCTGTGTAAAATTCTGCTGAATCACCCTGGGTGTAACTGTGAGCTAGGATATTCTTCTTGTATTACACAGGCAGGTTTTATGAATTGTAGTCTATCAAACAAAAATACTAGTTGTTGCAATACAGGGGATCTCTCCTTCAGTTCCTTCCTGTAGGATGTGCTTTGCTGCTCTGTAGCTGAAAATGACTCTTATCCCATCAGTCTCCACCACCAGTGTCTCTTAGCCCAATGTGTTCCATGCTTGATAATAAAATAGCTTAATTATTTAGAGCTAGAACCACAGGACAAGGCATCAAAATGGTCCCCAAAAGTGACACTCTGTACCCTATACATGAGGGGAGTCAGGCTGCACAGAAAGGGACTCTTCACTCACTGACAGCACATGCTAAAGCCTCCACCTTCTGTTTTGGGCTCTTCACTTATTTCTCTCTGTCCCCTTCTTACATTCAGCCTGAAAGCCTGCAGTGGGACTCAGTCAGCTACACAGAGGCATCCACACCGCTGTGCATGTTCCACAGTGCTTGCTGGCCTCTGGCTGCTGCTCCAGAGAGCTGGGCTCTGTAGCATGTCCCTTGGCACATCACCCAGCCCCCTGAGGTATGTATCACAGAGAGCCCCAGGCGTCTGTGCTAGGCACAGCAGAAGCCCGCTCCTGGTTTCCCTATGGAGACACGAGCTGCCCACATTTTGTTTTCTGCTAATATCCAACCAGAAATAATTTGTTCACATTTTACAACAAAGCAGAACTCTGCATAAGTAAGTTTTATTTGCTTGCTTGAGAAGTAAGTGCTCTCCCTGCTAGGCTTCTGGGAATACTGACTTCTGCTGTTAGAAAAGGGGTTTTTTAAGAGTAAAAAGTCAAACTACTCTGCTGGAAACGGTGTTTCCAACATTGTTGGATGGATGTGACTTCTCACCCGGAATCTAGATAGTGTGTGAGATTGAAGCTTTCCTTGCATAGTGAGACAAGGGGGCACAAAATCACAAAATGGAATATATAAAAACCTTTAGAATCAGTTTTAAGTAATATTAAGTTTGGTGGCTTTGTAACAGTAGCAATGGAAAATTATTGAGGTGCAGGATACATAGAGAAAAAAAATAGAGTACAGCTAGAGAACATACTGAGAATTCTCACAAGATAAACCATTATAGTGGGCATAGCTTTAAGAAAAACAGTCTAGAAGAACAGGACACAGGGATAAGGGGTATCTGGGAACTGCAGGTGTCCAGGATGGGCTACAGTTAAACTAACTGATAAGTAGGAGGACGGGAGGATTGCTAATGAACCCATTAAGCTGGTATGAGCATCTACTGCGCGTGCTTCAAAGGCTGCCAGAAGTGATGAAGATCGTTGGAAGAAGTAACCGACCCTCAGAAACCACCGCCACAATTCTGTACGCATGTGGGGAACTTTCTGGAAAATGATGTAATCCATATGTAGCCTCATGAATATGTATGTATGCACAGGGACTATATAAGGATGGCTTGTATAGCAATACGGGGACACATGTTAGGAGGAGTTATCCCCCGTGTCTCCTGGCGCCTCAATAAAGAATACCTGCTTGTCAGCGTGTAAACTTTGTTGGCAAGTTTGTTCCTGCAGTTTTCTCTGAATCAATAGACACTGCACTGAGGTGTGTCTGGTAGTGTTTCCAAATCTGCTTAGTCATGTAATGCAGATACAAGGAAAATAGCAGGGACTATGACATGTCTACAGTGGTTTTCCTCTAAATTTTGTTTAACTTTCTGAAAGTGGAATAGATCCAGTGGACAAACCTAACAACAGAAAACACAACATTTACAGCTAGGCATTTTGTAAGTATGCAGTGAAGCTACAGCGTTTCACATATATTAAGCTGTCAAAAGGGTTTTTTTCGTTACTGTTCAGAAATACAAACTCACTGTTAGATAGCTTGGCTGGATTAACCATTTGTAGGCCTGGCCATGATAAACTTTAAGAGATAACCCAGATCTAGTGACTACTCTACAAGGACTTGACATCCACTGTGTCAGAAGACTGCAAGGTAAGAAAACATGAATTCAAGCATGAAAGTTAATCACAGTGTAGAGAAATTGGGAAAACTCATCTCACCTAACTTTGTAGACACCTATGTCCAGTCTAGCTGTCTAGTCTCCTTTAAATAGTTCAAAGCTCAAGTCTAAATTCAAGAAAAATCCCTCACCATGCACTTGAACTACAGTTGCTATGCAAACTACTCAAAATGATGCTGTCTAAACTGAGGCAGTTAGAAGTTTAGATGAAGGCATCTGGTCTCCTAAGAACATCTAGGTTCAGATTGGCCATCCAGGAGTTAAAACTAGGGGAAATACCAAAGCTGCCCTAATGACTTAGAAGAGAATATTTACCCCAGCTGCAGCTGTTGCCTACCAGCTTGTTTTTATTTAGCCTCTTCCTTTAAAACAATAAGGTACAAGGTTTGGGTTTGGGTTTTTTGTTTTTTTTCAGATACGATACTGATTTCTTGACAAAGCATTAGAAAATGTTTTGTGTCATCAGGCTTCGTGAACTTTACATAAAACATATCAAAGTTTTGTTAATTTTGGTTGGAACTGTGTTCAAAATTATGAGCTAATATCGAAACTGTACTTGCAAGGGAGCTAGGTGCACACACAAACTGTTGTGCCTCTACTGTATTAGCAGGGGGAACAGGGACTGTAGCTAATGGCTATTCCCTATTAGCTTTGTGGCTAATGAGACCTGTTGGGATATACTCCCTCCTGCCTTGCAGAAATAAAAGTGCAGCTCCAGTGTTCCATATTATTTAAAACAAAAGTCCCATTTGTTGTTGTTTTTCCAAACTGGCACTGCCTGTATTCAGCACACACATTACGTCCCACGAAACGTTTCTCCACACTGAATTACGCCCTCCAAAGCGAGCAGGGCAAGTGCTCAATGTAACCAGCTTAGAGACCTAGGAATATGTTTACAAAAGATAGCCTTGCAAAGGGAGTAGAGTAATTGAAAGGAAACTTTCTTTTCTCCAGTGACCCTCACGCGGACTTAACAGCTGGTTTCAAGTATGTGAAGGGCACTAGGTGTTTTCCTGAACATTTTGAAGAGCAAACAGGTCACCTAGAAGCTGGCAGGTGTTTTCAGTGCTACTGAGCTTGAACAGGGTTTTTTTAACAGGATGTATTTTTGCCAGCAGTTCCTTACATTTGAATAACAAATGCAGGACCTTGCCTAATCAAAGCCAGAACAACGCTGATGTTCAGTGGAAACTAGTGACCATCTTTCTTTGGCTAGCATCAACTTCTGCCATGTCGATACGAGGCAGACAAAGAGAAGGTTGTGAATGGGGTGTTACCTGCTCACCATTGCTTTTAGAACTAACTTTCCACATAACAGCATGTTAAGCTTTCAGATTTCCTTCTAGTTCTTGGTAGCCAGCACCCTTTCTCTCCTGCTTAATTTGTAATCTTAGTTTGTGTCTCCTTGGCAGATTTCAAACTGTCTCACTCACCTGTGATTATTCACTGCTTTTCCCTCCACACTTCCAGCTCCTGGACCATTCTTCTTCCTGGATGAAGTTCTCTCCAGATGAAGACAGTCAGTATACAAGAATAGAAAGTAGCATGCCATGGACAGGCAGGCAGTACAAGGACTTCCAAGGCATTTCACACCTAAAAATCTTTTCTTCTGCATCTTTCCTCTTATTTTCTCATCTTTCCATCAGCCAGCACAGAAAGGATTCTAATATTTATAGAAATTCAAGGATTTCTTAGATCACTACTAATAATGATTTCAGACTCCTTCCCTCTGAAAGCAGGGTTAAGGGATTAATTTCCTCTGCCAGTATCCCTCCAAACCCACTCAAATAATAACACAATACAAAACAGCATGACTCCACTCTAAGGTCACTCATGGCCTAATGTAAAGGTGCATTGACCACCACAACATCTGACCTGCTGGTCCTCACCATCCTAGAGTGAAAAGTGCCAGCCGCTCAACCCCGCCAAGTTAAGTGACTGGCACCACTTAACTCCATCCAGCAGTTGTGGATGGAATTAACTCTATCCTCTAGCAGTTGTTGGCAATTTAAGAGTGGGAAACCAGGGGGAGATACAATTTCTGTTTTGAAACCTAAGGTGGGCATGGAAAGGAAGACTTACATACCAGGCACCAGAAGTCCATATTTGTCTGCCTATACCAGTGGGAAATTCAATTTTAACAGATTTTTGTACCTCTTAAAGGGTTAAGCTGCAAATGGGGTATGGTAGCATTTTTCTAGCACCCTTCTTTTCAGATTTACTCTTGTTTAGCTTGCCTAAAAGTTTGACAGCACCAGGGGACATAAGTTGTTTCTTTTCTTAATCCTGGTTACGAAAGTAATCAAATTTTACAGGAAAGCCCTACC